GAGCTGTCGATGACAATGGAAGATGTAATTGGTAGTGGTAGCAAAAATGCCATCGAAGATGATCCATTGATGATAGCAGATGATGGACCTGAGTTAAATCTAATGGATGATAATTTATTGGATGACAATCTCATAGAAGACACAGTAGATATGCCAACTTTGGATATTGGTAGACCATCATCAGAAGGCCTTGAAACAAGATCACTAGAAATGGATGTTGATCTTGACGCAACTGTAGAGACACCCCTAAATACAGAATCTAATAAACCGAATAGTACAATCACGGATGACTTTCAAAATCAAGAAGATGAAACAGTCCAAGAGACTACGAGGTTCACCCCATTGTCTCCACGAAGTCCTGAACAAGAAGTTCAAGAACTATTTCAGGATGAAGCTATTCAACCTGTAACACCAAATCGCAGAAAACGTAAATTGATTGTAGATGAGGTAACAGAATTACCCAATAGACATATCGCAAACCAAATCAGAGATACTTCCGATATTTTGATTACGGTATGTATTCAAATGCAAATCATTATTAAACGCATTTATTTTAATAAAAAAATTCACTGAATTTTTTTTCTAGCCATCTTTTCTTCAAGCATCACGTAATTTACTAAGGATCGGAGAGATTAGGCAAACGGGTGCTTCTTATTACCTTGATTTAAATGTTCCGCATAATCTTATGCCACAATTTCATCATCTCTTTGCTCGAAAACGTCTGAGAATGACACCATCACCACCTCCCGATGATTATAATCAAGAAGAGGACGTTCAAGCTGGACCATCCCGAATTGATAAGCCAATAAACGAGGAACCTACTGAATACGAAAACACCAATACTTATGTAAGTAAAATTGGACACTGGTTACGTTTATTGTTTAACTATTAATAAGCCAAAATTTGTTATAGGACGATTTAGATGTTCAAAATACATATAATAGTCCTGTTCCTGATCAAGGTACTGTAGTGATAAAATTTATATGCAACAAAACTATTGTTTCATATAATATATATATATATATATATGTGTATATTTTTTTTTTTAATAAAAAAAAGGTTCTGTCATAGAAGAAATAGAGAAGGAAAAAGGGCGAGACAAGACTCATAAGAAAACAGATAAAGAAAGTGTTGTCGAGCAAAGTCTAGTCACGCCAGTGGAATCAACGTCAGAACATGATGATGCTGAAAATAATTTCGACATGGTAAATAGCATATATGTTTCAATTTTTGGGCATTGACATGTAAACATTATAATCTTAATTACATATATTACAGATATCCCATCATGAAAATGATAATGCATTAGATGTTACTAGTCCTATTGACGATGGAGGTACAACTTTTGCATAATTCTTAAACGTAATATGAAAATAATTTCTATGTAAATCTTATTCTTTTTGTTTTTGGTAATTACGCTTCCTAGAATCATCATACAGTCGTGGTATAACTATTTTTGATCAAGACGAGCCGCAAGATCAGCAAACTACAGGAAATGAATCCGGATACAGCAAAAATACGGTCAAAGCAATGCGACTTTTGAGGGATAAATGTCGTGGAGAAGTAAGTGATCGTGCTAATGGAAAATCCAAAAGCCCAGCGCAGGTGGTTGTTAGCTACGAATCAGTCGTTGGCACGGTAAGACATTAATATTAATAAATTGTACTAATAGACTTTATTTTAAAATTACAATAATAATTATATATCTCTTATATTTAGGCTAAACGACAAGATGCTGTTAAGCTGTTCTTTGAATTATTAGTTTTAAATACTAAGGATGTTATTCACGTGAAGCAAGATCAACCATATGGTGATATAGAAATTTTATGCAAAGTAAGGATACAAGTCACGAACTATATAAATTTAAACGATTTAATATATTAACTATTTTAAATCTTAATTATCTTAGGACAAATTATTTGATCTACTAGATGAAGGTGTCGTTTAAAATAGTGCTGGTTGACCAAGACGTTACGATTGCAATTGTACATGTGTGTTAAGAATATAAAATTTCCATTACACTTGTATAACAGTTAATACATTTATACGATTAAACTACATGTTCAGTGTTTTGGTTTTTTTTTCATATATCTTTAAAAAAAATGGATTAAAATTTGCTCGAGTTTTACATAGGGGACTAAACTAGGTTTCAACCGGAGAGCACAGAAAAATTCTTAGTTATTGCCCAGGAGTCATGCCACTAACCGCTAAAAGGTATACCGTATTTGCGCGTAATAACGCACACGGGGGCGTTATTTCTAATAATGGCTCGAATTAAGCCCAAAATTTTAAAATTACACCCCCTGCGCGTTATTACGCGCAGATACGGGTATTTATTTGTTTTTATCAAATACAATCACATTTCCATATTAGCATTTTTAATAAGCATATCACATCCACCGGTTTTTTTGTTATAATAAATACATAATATTTTTAATTAAATTTATAGTCCACGGCCTCTAATATTAGCTACCGCTATAGCGATGGTCGCCACCCTTAAGATCATGTGTAACGTGAAATCAAAACAATAGATAATAATGCGTTAGATTAAGGTTAGGGTCAGCATTGGATTAAGGTTAGAGGCAGTTTTAGAAAGTAAAGATTCTAACCTAAAATTTCGCAAGGAATTTTTTTAAATAGAACATAAAAGGTGGTTTCATAGGCAAAATTTTGAGTTATAGACAATTTTTGACA